AAAGCCAAGACCTGGGGTCCGTACCTGATGACGCATGCAATGGGCTCACCCTGCGCATCAGCCCAGGCTGCTTGGCTTCCCACGGTGGCAATGGACACAGCCGCTGCCTGCAATGCCTCTCTCCTGTTCAGGCCGGTCGCCACAAATGCCCGACTGATGGTCTGGAAGGCCAAGCCTGCCACCGCGAGCACCAAGGCTGCCAACAGCTTCGAGTGGCGTGCCATGACTACGGAATCACTCCCGCGAGTGGGTTGGAGCAACTCAGCCTGCAATCACGTCATTAGGTTTGCAGCAAGTCAACTGTTTTTCTCTCTCTCTCTCTCTCTCGCGCATTCACCAGCACAACTAGAAAAAAATTCACCAGCAAACTTTTTGCACATTCAACAGCAGGCGACAGCGGAGAAACTACTCGGGTCTCGGCCAGCCAGAGAGGATCTTCTCCGTGAGGCTCTGAACCGACACCTCCGAAGCATGTCGGGAGGCTCCTCTGAAACTGTAAGGAACAACCAAGTAGAAGGACCAGTCCTATCATCCTATTACGTAGAATTGGCGTGGCTTTTGAAGGAACAACGCAGTTTGCAGCTCTGACTGTCTGGCTCTCCCTCACCCGCTCTCACACTCTCTCTCTCTCACACATCACACCCTTTCGCGTCCTTGCTACTAGTAGCTTCTTGTTCCTAGTAACTTGCGATGGCCTCCACCTGCTGCTTCCTTTGGATCAGACTCATATGATTTTGACTCAGATGTGCCATCACGTACCCCAACGGTCACCTCAAAGGCCTTTTCCTTGAAACTCATGGTGAAGAACGCTGGCGCCTCACTTGACCAGGCCCCAGCCGGGCACCCCACAGACGATCAGACCCACGATGGTCAGTTGTCCAACAGTTCGGGGGCCTTTGCATCTCCGCACTTTGGAAAAAAGACAGGAAGAAGAGGACGCTACTAAGGGCTCCTGGCATCGCTATTCGGAGCAAGGACGCTACTAGCTGCTCCTGGCCGTACTACTAGGAGCAAGGACGCTACTAGGAGCAAAGGGCTGCGGCTACTCTAGTCTAACATTATACTTATATGTTACAGTAATATTCATACAAGCAGTTCCCGGGCAAGCCGGCGGCGGAAGTTTCCTATAAGAACAAATTGACCTATAGGAGTGTTCCGGTTCTCTCAAACACGCGCGTCCCCCAGTCAAACGCACGCGCTCCGGACTTCAACCTTCAGTACAAACTTACCTGTTGACAAAACAATCAACTGTAACCAGTGTTGGGTTATGATTCGTGGTGTATGATGAGTGATGTATGATGAGTCTTGTATGATGAGGGGTGTATGACGAGTGGTGTATGATGAGTGGTGTATGTTGAGTGGTGTATGATGAGTGGCGTATGATGAGTGGGCAGCGAGAGATGACTCAGCAATGAGAGACGACTCAGCAACCACCGATGACTCAGCAGCGAGAGACGACTCAGTCGCGAGAGATGACTCAGCAGCGACAGATGACTCAGTCGCGAGAGATGACTCAGCAGCGGGAAATGACTCAGCAGCGAGAGATGACTCAGCAGTGAGAGATGACTCAGCAGGGAGAGATGACT